TGCTTGTGTCTCCCTCTCCCGCCAGCAAAAACATCCTCCTCTGCTTCGAGGTTTGTCCGCAAAGCTAGCAGCGGGAGGCTCGGCGGGAGCGCGGTGTGCAGCCCCAGCGGGCCGGGGGCTCCGGGGCCGGGATGGCTGCGGGCGCCCCGCTCCTGCCGCGGGCATTTCGGCAGCGTTAGCGGCGCTTCCTCTGGGGGCAACCTCGTGTTGTCATACCCCGCTTGGACCCTGCGAGTGCTTTCCGGATGCCCACCGGGGTGTTGCTGTCGCGGTTCCCGCTCTACCGGGAATGAATCAAAAGTGAAGTGGAGCCGCGAGTTAGGTGAGGGATTTATGACTTCTGGAGCGTACGTCTCTTTTTTTCCTTGCAGCATTACGTTTTAGTGTGATCCTCTTTGGTTACATAAAGTATTTTCACAGGCTTAGCTGCAGTTTAAGTTGATGAGAAGTTGGGAATGTTGTGAGAGGTGGAAGTTTGGCCGGGTGCGAAGCGGCGCTCGCTGCCAGCAGCCATTACTGCCGTGCCTCAGCACCGTGGTGCTGCTGGGCCGCGGGCCTGGCTGTGTGCTCGGCGCTTGGCGGCGGCTCCGCTCCAAACCCAGGCAAATTTGGAAGGCAGACTCGTGTTTTCAGACAGCGAGAGATGGATATGGATACTCCCAGCCCTCCTGAGCCCGAACATGTGCCTGAAGGGGCCGGTGCCAGTGAGGGGACTGTCCAAGCGGCCTTTGTGAGGAGAGGATTCCACACAAACGTGCTGTGAAGTTATGCGTTAACATATAAATAACTTCCCCAGAAAGATCTTTTTTTTATGCTTGGTATTGGTTTAAACAGGAGTGCATTGTTCCAATGAAATAAGCCTTTTGCTTTGGCATGTGGAATATTTATATAAAGCTTTTCCCTCATTGTGTTTTTTCTCTTGGGTGCTGAAAGTTTGTTACCTTGCCAGATTAAAAAGTAAACCTGCTAATCATTTTAAAAGCCTTTATTATTCTTAAGCATGCTTGGCTTCCTTTCTTGCATAATTTATTTTACTTGCAGGTTCTTTGAACAGGTAACTCTTCAGCTGGACCCTCAATTAGTGTTATGCAGAATAATTTGAGGGCTGGCTGTAGTTGGGAGGTGGATCTTCTGACTAATGCAAACACGTGTACTTTGAAATGTAAAGGAATAAATTAAAGACTGTTGGTGACTTTTGTTTGTGCTGTTGTTTTTCTGTTTCTAGGTAAGCGTTGGGCTTGTTTAGCACACAGAGTCATTTTATGTCACTCCCTGCATGACAGGACTGTAATAAAGAAATGAGATGTGGAAAATTTTTCTTTATGGTTATACTTTCATCTCTGCACATGAAAATAGACGCTTTAATAGCTAGCTAACAGCCTTATTAGCACAATGTTTCACAGTTTTTCAATCTGAAATAGTTATTTACTGTGTAGTTCACAACCACTGGGTTTCGTATTTGACCAAGGCAAATTTAATTTTACCCTATGAATATTACGCTTAATTCTCAAGGTTAGTTCTATGAAACAAGTGATTGGAGAGGAGCTTATACTCTTTGTTTTCTTGCACGTGCCTTCTGTGAGAAGTGATGCCATGATCTTAACTGAACTGGTTGAACTCTGGGAATAATGATTTGGCTGGTGATATCTGCTGCCAGTAGTTAGTGCTGTGGTGCCATGGAGATGTATTTTAGGAGCATGACGTAAAAAACTGCTGGGAGATGCCAGCTCTCAGTGGGGAGATTGGTTTTACAGATAATGATTCTTACTTATCATACAATGATAAAAAATATCTTGGCAAAACTTAGAGAATGGTGGAAATAAGTGGTCTGATTCAGTCCATTTGATGTTCAATGTGAAACTGAGAATATTTGTCCAGGAACATTTCCCCTTCTCTCCCTCCTTCAACAAAACTTTGATAAATTAAATTTTTCTTAATAACTTTTATAGACCAAAAAGAATCATTGAAACTTCCCCTTTTCTGTGAAACAAAGCCCTAAAAGCAAAATCCCAAAGTGGGCTGTATGACCACTGCTTATTTGCTTTTGGTCAGCTTACCTTTTGTTTTTGAATAACTTTTTTTAACAAGGTAGCTCTTGTTCTGAAGGGGTTTGCTCTGAGATCTTGAGTCATTCAGTCCTTAGTAAATATGTAAGAAGCATTTATTTAGAATTTAAAATAGAACCAATCAAGAAGTAGTAAGTTGAACATAAATATTTTTAGATATTTTTAGTCAGGTTTTAAATAAAAAGTGCTCTGTTCATTGTTACCAACAACAGCTGATACAAAACACAGTTGCTTGTCTGCTCTTGCTAATTCAGACTAGAATGCTGCTATTTTTTGTGAACAAGGGTGTTTTTTCTGGCACAGGGTGCTGTACTGCCAATAGCGAGCTACACAGCTAATAAGAGCTGGTCTAGTTAAATTGAAGCTGCGAAGGAAGACATGTGCTTTTATTGCTAATTTATTGATTTTTTTGTGTATGTGAGGCATTTCTCAAGCTTTCACCAAGGATGTGGTACCTTTAGCTACAGCATCAATGTTTGAAAATGATCTGATTTTTTTTTCTGTAAGCACCGCCTTGATTTCTGTCTGGAAGAAGTGATGGTGTAGTTTAAGGTTTCTCATACAGCACAATGAATTTAGATAATATTTAGGGGCCAATTTCAGCCATGAAAAGGTATATATTTGCCTAGGATGCTGTGTTGATTTACTTGTGCCTGGGCTGGCATGGAATTTATGCTCTTTGGAACAATATTGTCTGCACTACTTCCTAACTGCTGAGAAGATGTGTTTGGAGTTTGTTTCTCTGTGTTGTTTTGAGTTGATCCTTGTTGTGGTACAGACTAAAATCTGGATAGTGTTGTAGTTGACCTGTGGTCTTGATTTTGTGCAGTGTGTGTTGCTTAGGAGCTCAGAGTCGTCACCTGTATATCACAGCACTCTCTTGTGCCTGAATTTCTTGAGAGCTCCTCAAGAGGTATTGCCCAGCTTGTTGCAGGGAAGCTGAGTGGCCACAGAAGTTGCAGCACACTGTATAAAAGTGACTTAATTTGACTGGAATAATGACAATTGATGGTATGGTGAAAGTTTTTCTGGTCTCAGAAAAAATTTGAGAGTCTCTTTCCTGGGTACTGGAAACCCCTCAGCTAAGGTCATTCCTCAAAAGATGTGAGGAAGAGGGAAGCAGCGTTTGGCATAGAGCTCTTGTGTGAGAAATGTCACTGCTGTCTTAGTGAACATCACTGTGCCTCCTCTTTGTTTGCTGTAGCCTGGTCTGTCTCTTCCCCCTTTCCCCAGGCTTCACACACTTGTGTGAGTTGTGACTTCAAGCACAATTTCACACGGTACAGACAGTTTGACGTGCTTGTGGTTAGAAGCCTCAGTTGTTGTGAGGCTCCATTACAATCTGGCTTTTGTCACTGGAGCTGTAGACTCAGCTGGCTGGGGATGATGTGTCTGCTTTGGGCTCATTATTGCACTTCAGGTTCAGTTATTCCCTTTCTCAGTAGTTCATGGACATTACTTATTCCTGCATACATCATGAAATGCTCAGATTTCCATTCCTGGTAAAACTGTTGGTCAACTACATTTATAGGTATGTCTGAAGAGAAAGGAAGAGGGAGAAATATGCTGATTTATTAATAGTTAGCAATTAATTGTGAGAGCCTGGTGTTCTTTTTTTAGAGCTATCTTGCTTACCTAGGGAGATTTCAACAAGGTCAGTCATGTTAACTGTGTGTGCTGGGAGCTGCAAACCAGAGCTGGATTTTAGAACAAATTGAGTGATGCTTACCACTGAAGTTATTTTTTGGTTTTTCTTTTTAGGCACTCTCAAGTGAATGCCATTGTGTTCAAGTTATTTGGGAAAATATAACACTAAGAAACCCCTGGTTATTTTGTAAGACAGGAGAATTTTGCTTTCAGTGAGGAATAGGAGGGAGAGCTGCCCATGCCTGGGATACAGAAGAATCTCTTTCCTAACATTTTCTTGGTTATCTAAAAACATTCTGTATGAGTATTTGTTAATTAGATCAGAGAATGGTATTGAATAACCACTGTTTGCACATCCAAGCTTGCCCCATAATGTTTTACTACCAAAAGGTAGAATATACTAAATACATCTATTTATATTTATTTGTGGGCTGAAACAAAGTAAAAACTTGCACAACAAGTTGTTACTACTGCAGTCTTAATGTTATATTCACGTGTTCTTGCTAAGATGAGCGAATATGTACAAAAACATAAATCAAAGTTGCCCTCTGTGTTCATGTGTTTAGATCACATTTTCATGGTTTTTGCTGTGTTGCACTTTCTTGAGCTGTGTGTGGGTCGTGATTTTTTTTTTTACCCTTGATCCTTTCATATTCACAGTCGGCTCTGTTTATTTGCTATTAAAATGCTGTTCAAACTACTATAACCAAACATCAAAAAGTCTGAAAGTTGAATGCTGTCAGCATAATGTCTGGAAAAGCAACATTTTAAAAGCTAAAATCACAATAGGCATTAGTGGAAAGTTGATTGTAACTTTACAGAATGTAGTGAAACTGCCTAGTTAAAGATGCAGAGATTGGCCACTGTGCAGGCTGCTTTTCTCCTTTCTTTAAAACTTGAGGATGAGGAAGTAGTTTGTATCTGTTTTTGGAGACTTCTATTGGAAAAGCCTCGTTTTTGATGAAATATTGCTTGGGCTCCAAATAACTCTTGTTATTTGTTCCTTCCTTGCACTTCTTTCCTGGAACCCTGTGTATTCAGCATGCAAAACTTCTTGAAGGAGAATCATGCCTCTCCTTGTTTTTACACTCATTAGCACATTGCAAGAGCTACAGGAAGACAAAGTACAGGGCACTTGTGGATAAAAACGTATGTTGAAATTTGCCGTGTTGATTTGTTTTCTTTAGTAAAAGACCCCAACCAAAAGCTGTTTCTCAACGTGCACTACAGGATGAATTGTAGTTATGAGTGATGTGTGAATACAGCCTACTATCAAGTACTCACTAGTATGTGGGGATGTTTGGGTGGTGTTTGTTTGTTCCTTTTTGTCTCTTAAATAAAAATTTCCAAATTGCCTGGTTTAGGTCATGGAGCTCCTTCCAGACATGTCTAACAGATGGTGACTGGTCACAGTTAGAATTGCAGAAGAGGTGGCAAGACTGCTCAGTTTTTGCTTTGCTCTATCATCTTAGGACAAGATTTTCACTGGTGCTTCACACAGAAGGCATATTAATGAATAAGTCTAAACAGTTCCTCTGTGAATTATGGGGAAGATGTTGATTTCCACTGGATATTTTCCATAGAAGTGATTATGTTGTTCTAAATTTGC